TTGCGGCCATTATCTCAGACGAGAGCGTCATGGTCGACTGCGAGATAGCTTGCCACAACAGTCCAGGTATGGTAGTACTGGGCGGCCCACGACAACGGCTGGCAGAAATCGAGGAGCAGCTGCTCAGTGCAAGCAAGTGTAAATGCAAGTTGCTGAACGTTACGTACGCAATGCACTCTAGCCAACTGGACAGCATACTGGCAGGAATCCGTGAGGCCGCCCGGGGCGTGTGCTTTGGCACTCCGAAGATCAAGGTTATCTCGACCTTGACAGGCACAGAGCAGCAACACTTTGATGGCGACTATCTCGCGAGGCAAACGAGGGAGGCTGTCAAGTTTACACAAGCCATATCGCACTGCGTCTCTCAGGGTCTTGTCGATTCGAATACCCTGTGGCTAGAAATCGGGCCTGCTCCTGTATGCCTGGGACTTGTACGTTCGAACACCAGCGTGACCTCGCATCGTGCCATGACTAGTATGACGAAAGAAGACGGGGGGTGGAAGTCTATTGCATCAACTTTGGCAAGTCTCTACATGGCTGGTAAGACGGTCGGCTGGCGTGAGTACCATAGCGACTTTATCGACAGCTTGTCACTCGTCTCCCTACCATCATATTCTTTCGACACAAGAAATTTTTGGATGCCCTTCACGGCTGGCACTAAGCACGAAGATGTACAGCTCATTTCCTCGTGCCTGCATCATCTTGTGAAGCAGGAGGATGACGGTAAAGAACAGTCGGCCACCTTTACGGCCATGGTATCTCAGCCGTCCCTACTTGGAATGATCCAAGGTCACAAGCTTTCGGGCATTACCGTGTGCCCAGCTGGAGTATTCGCTGAGATGGCCCTCACAGCCGCCCGCTATGTGCACACTGGCGGGTCGATGAAGGCGCAATTTCCATTGTTTTCGGTACTCGATCTCCAGATCGATCATCCCATCAAACCCCAACCTGACTCTCAGCCAGTCATCCAGGTAAACGTCAGTAAGCCAAGACAGTCGAAAGACTTTGCCATTTCCATTATGGATCAAGCCAAGCCCTCTTTGATCACGTCAAAGTGTTGCGTTCGCGAGAGAGATGAGCAAGACTTCGACATGACGCGGCAGCAACGACTCGGCGTGATGCTGCCCAAGATTTCCAAACTGATGCAAGACGCTGCGGTAGGGCTTGCGAACCGGTTTCAAGGAAAGCTCTTCTACCGGCTGTTTGCGAACCTTATGGACTACACTGGCCAGTATGAAGGTGTGCAGGAAGCCATTGTGAACAATGACTTCACCGAAGCCTTGGCCACGATTCGGCTTCCAAAGGGGCAGGACGCCAGTGAGTCGTGTACACTGTCGCCATACTGGATTGACGCCCTCACCCATCTGGCCGGTTTCCTTTTGAACGGCAACCCGATGAGCAGTGGAGATTACGTATACATCGGAACGCACATGGAGCGCATGGAGATTGTGGCCAAGGACTTTTCTTCAGACGTCGCATACCAGAGCTATGCCTATATCGAGCATACGGAAGGATCCGATGACTACCGTGGGCATGTCTATATTCTCAACGGTGATGGCATCGTGGGCTTCCTGGAAGGCGCGCGCTTCCGTAAGATGCCGCGGACAACGCTGCACCGAATTCTAGGCAAGGCTGAACCTGCGGCCACTACTACGAGTAGCCGGTCCATTACAGCGGAGCCACCAGTGAACGGCACCAACGGCACCAGCGATACCAACGGCCATCGTAAGACGATTGAGTCGGTGCTGATTGAGCGCCTCATGGAAGAAACGGGCATGGACGAGAGCGAACTCCAGCCGTCGACCTTCTTTGCCGAGATTGGTGTTGACTCGCTCATGTGCCTCTCCATCCTAGCCGACATCAAAGCGGAGACTGGGGTCGAGCTGAATGCCTCGTTCCTACTGGAGTATCCCACGCTCGGGGATGCGCAACGCCAACTGCGGACGATGGAGGGCAAGCGTAAGCGTGAAAGGGCAGACTCGGCTACCGCCAATGGTAACGGCGCGGTTGTATTGAATGGAGAAGACGGCCTGCCCACCATCAAGCGCGAATGCAATGTCGTCCTCATGCAAGCACAAGGGCAGGCGTCTTCCAGCCCGCCCCTGTTCCTGATGGCCGATGGTGCTGGTTCTGCGGCGGCTTACATGCACCTACCGAAGTTACTAGACGTAGCAGACGGCGTCTACGCTGTCGAGTCACCCTGGGTGCGCGACCCAGCCGAGTTCACCTGCAGCTTCGAAGAGGCCGCGGCGCTGTACTTGGCGGCGGTGCGTTCCAAACAGCCGCGTGGGCCGTACCTGTTAGGCGGTTGGTCGGGTGGCGGCGTGTTTGCGTATGAGGTGGCGCGAAGGCTGCTCAATGCAGGTGAGCGGGTGTTGGGTCTAGTGGTCATCGACATCCCAGCGCCAAGCCTGCACCCCCCACCCCCCGGGGCGGTGGCAGAGCCGACCATGGAAATCATTGATATGATCGGAATGCTCAGCGGTATCGATCGCAACTTCGCCGACAAGGCTGAGAGCCCCGAGGCTACACGTCTCAAGCGCCATATGCTGGGCACTGTCACGTGCTTCAGCCGCCTGGTCCCCATCCCCATGCAGCCCCATCTACGGCCCGAGCACACCTTTGTCATCTGGGCTACCAAGGATGTTCTGCCCAAGGCCGCCTTCGATCAGCTGCCTTCGGGCTTGGACGCTTGGTTCTACCCTAAACCGCGTGACAGGGGTCCCAACGGCTGGGATGCTCTCGTTGGTGACGCTGTAGAATACCCCCAAGTGCAAGGCGACCATTTCTCCATCATGACAGCTCCCGAGGTTTTGGAGCTTGGTCAGGTTATACAGGCTTCACTTGAAAAGTGCAAGGTTTAGGCTAAGACGGCCATACTTACTCCTACCGCCATTTCTTCAGGTGGACTTTAGCAGGTACTATTTAACAGTTATAAGTGATAAATGAGAATGAATGGGAGGCATAGCTATTTCATCAATTAGGAGTCATCTAGTTCATTCATCAATTTAGAGTCGTTATCATTATCATACATGCCACGGATTAATCATTCTTGTTCATTCGCGCTTCGCATGCCAGAAAATTGGGTCTTCATCCTAGCTACGTTCGAACTTTGTTCTATATCAGAAATCAATGTGAATGCCTTGAGAGTTGTCGCCTCAGCCAGTATGCCTACACCCACAGGGGGCGGCGTACTTGGTGAAACACGATCCCTCCTATCGAGAACAGCCTACACGTGAACGCGGGGCAGTAGAAACAAACAGGAGCAGCGTACAAGGCAGTCCGAAACGAGTTTGTAAGCATGCAACCCAGTCTGGTATTCCCAATTCAGCACAGTGGAGACAAATTCTTATGATAGTGGTTATGGCCGTTCTCTCATGTCCTATAATAACAGGCATAAAAGACATCTCAGAAGAATGATTTTCACTAACGATCTCTTGTATATCGGCTTTACAACTCGTTAAAGTGTCTTTTGAACCCTATACGAATTTGCTTGGCAGAAATGGCTCCAAAGGTAGACAAGAATAATCATGACTTGGTTAGGGGAGTGTGGCGCCTGTTCCGCCTCCATACGATCGAGGGATTATCGACCGTGAGCATTGGATGCACGTCTCCTCTTTTCCAGACATATTACAATTTGTTGACCATTTCACAGGGCTCGCGCTCTTCTTCTACGCGATGCAGCAGGACCTGCCGTTTGCTTTGGTTCGCCGTGCATTCATCGGCATCCTCGCCACCTATCAAATCACCCACTGCGTTTTTTGTCTGTGGAAGTAAGTTTTTCTTCAAAAGGGCAGTAAGAAGTTTTGAATAATGTGTCTAGTGACATTTGCGACCGCGACTTCGACGCAAAAGTGGCGCGTACAAGGGACCGCCCTCTCCCCTCAGGCCAGGTTACCCTCACTGAGGCAGTCATCGTCTTTGTCATCGGTCTCGCCGCCGCCGTTGCCCTAACGTATAAGATACTCGGCGCAGACGTTACGGCAATCATGGTCCCCATATGGGGGCTTTCCACCATCTATCCTCTGTGCAAGCGCGTCATCTGGGCACCGCAGGTGGTCCTGGGTCTGACTATGGCCATGTGTGTGCTGCCTCCATGGATGGCCGTGAAACCGCACAGCGGCGATGTGGGTCTGCTGCCAGCCAGTCTATTTGGCGCCATTTTCTGCTGGCTTGTATACATTGATTTGATTTATGCCTCCCAAGTAAGTACTGTTTTACTCGAGAGGGTATATATACATTTTGCCTTGATGCCACCCTTGATCACCCGTATTGCATATTTGTAGCTAACGTTGGCCTCCTGATAGGACCGACCTGATGACAAAAAGGCCGGCGTCAAGTCGCTGGCCATTTTCCTGGGTGACTACTTAAAGGCTGGCCTGACAGTCCTGGGCGTTGCGCAAATCGTTTGTTTCGTAGTGGCGGCGGCTGAGGCACAGGTAGGCGTCTTTGTCTGGATATTTGGCATCGCTGTCTGGTCGGCCTCAGTTCCTTGGAGCATTATCTCGCTAGACTTGCGTGACCGCAAGTCGGGTGGGCGCATTTTCCTCATGAATGCCATTCTAGGTATTTACATGGCAGCAGTATCGGGTATAAACGTTGTGTCACCTGCTATGTGGTCATGAAACCAGACAGGATGAAGCAAAGGCAGAAATCATGATTCTAGGCGCGGTTGTGTCAAAAGTGGATGATCAGACTGGTTTCGTAATGGGGGGTCAGGCATGATGAGATATGAATATGGCGTATGAGACTTTTGAAACTCTTTTCGTTTTCGAGATTGAAACTTCTACCACCTCCAAGGCGTGTGTTGAGCAACTCTATCCATGATTTCTCGAGCTTCTCTCTTGAGTTCAGGTTCCACAAGATACTGAATAGCAATGGAAAGACAGCTAATGGTCACGTAACCAAAATCTCTGTTGTATGCAAAACTAGTCATTAGCGTTCTCTGGTACGCGAAAAGGATAAGAAGAATGAGGGAAAAAGAAACAGTTTATGTGCTTTCATCGAGAAACAAGGGTCACATACTTATCTTCACCCTGCGAAGCAATTCCGCATATGTCCATAGCGTGCCTTATCTGTTTGCACTGGGCTTCTTGCGCCTCAGTTGAGCGCTCAGCTACTCCAATCCTGACAAGCAGCAAGCACGAGACGTGGTAAAGTAGGCGCGCGACTGTTGCCGAGGACCCGACGAACATGACCTGAGGGAAGTGGGTTGTTGTTTCTAATGTCGAATGTTCATCTGGTGGTGGGATGTAGCATAGAGGCATCATCGATCTCGGCACATTGCTGGCCCACTCATCGCACCAACCCTTGTACTGCTCACGGTCCTGGCGGAGACGGTCCATCGAATCGGCGTATGTGCCCTGGGCCACCTCGGTGTGAAGTGCGGCAACCTTGGCACATGTCGACAGTATCCGGTAAGCCCATAGGTCTTCGTCGCAGTAAAGTATACCATTGTTGGTATCTGTACCTTGAACCGCATTCAGTGCCATGTCGATTTTATCTGCATCGTACATCGGCCTCGAGTTGTGGACGAGACTATCTAGCACAGAGTTGAGGTTGTATGCCCAAAAGCAGGCACCAGCCAGATGCGAATATCCGCCGCTGAGATCAACTTGCCCAATCAAAGCTCGCGTGCGATCTGAGTGGCCTTTGTTATTGTTGCCTCCGTCACCCATAATCCCATATGCATGCAGCAAGGCGGAAATGGTCACACACAGGAGATGATCGGCATCGGGCTTGGCTATCTCGAGCTCAAGACTCTGGCATGCTTTTTCATGGTAAAGAGATTCCTCGGTAGGCATCAGATATCTCTCCCCGCACGCCATTACTGTACTGTAAAGTGCTGGTTGGCTTAGGGCGTAAAAGGGCGTAATATTTGCGAACTGTTTTGATCTGGTCAGTCAGTGCAAAGGGCGGCTGATCGAATTGCTCAACGCACGGGCTTGCTCGCGACCAGACAGTCCATCCAAGGCGCCACCTTGCCGAGGAATATCTCCATCAGCAGACCCTCATCATGGTTGGTGATGACCTGCAACGAGGGCAAGGGGTTGCACTGTACTTGGACTAGCGCAGTCTGCTCCGCAGAAGACGCTGTCCTCACGGGCAGAATGGGGCCATCTTTAGATGAGCTCGCTTGGGACGGCTCTGTCTGCTGTGTAGGCTCCGTGTGCGAGGTGTGAACATGTTTTTCCTTCTTTGGATCAACAGCGTACCCCGATGCGATAGCTCGCGACTCGTCGTGGAATTTGAGCTGAGTGCCTGGGGGTAGATCCATGAGACCAGACTGCGACGCACATGTCTGGATGTCGATGAAATTCAGACGGATCCCTCGCTCACAGACCCGATTGGATTTGCAGCAGTTCCTACACCTAAAAGCGTAGTCAGCAAGCTGAACGGCCTTGGTGCTGCTGCGGCGTGTCGCGATGCAAACCATACTTACTTGGGCAATGTTTCGTCGCATTTGATATGTCGGTCGCGGCACGTGAGGCACCCGGTCCGAGCTCGGAACTGCTCTTTGCCCATTACTTGGAGCTACTAAAAAGATACCGGGCTCGCATAGGTCAGGGTCGGATAGTATTCACCGAGTTACACATGGAATAATAGTGCCGTAGAAGTAGTCCGATACGACTCACACAAATACTATCCACCTCCAAGGCAAGACGAGACGAACCCCTTGTCTTCGCATACACTTACCCTCCCTTGTCCCGTGCAACCTTCTCATCCCTACATGCTACCCCGCCATCCTATTACGCCACACGGCCCGCAGAGGCCACATATGGCGTAATGTTGAGCATCTGTCTTCATCCGGTTCTGCTTTATCCAGATCAGGCCCCCCAAGGCTTTTCTTGACTCATGTCCTTTCTTGACTCATGTCCTTTCTTGACTCGTGTGCCACCTGCCGCAGTTGGACGGGGTATCTGGACAATACGTACAACTGGACAAGCTCCTACTCATACAAAGACATACACACATGAACTTCATGCGGGAAACCAAAGAACAAACGACTTGAACGACTGGCAACTAAAGCTTGCATCGTATGATTATGGTAGGCCATGACATGCCATCTTTTCGACCATACCACGTATAGTCCAGCTATTACGGTCCCCTAGCTATCTACATCGTCCTAAACGTATATGAACAAATATCTATCAGTCGCCCAAGAAATGTCTTTCTTTCTACTCTGATCACCATTGCGCCGTAAATTTCCCAATCACAAGATAAGAACATTTCGCGACTTGTAAATCCGTAAATGCGAGTAATCGAAATCTTCGTCTTTTACCTCTCCAGACGCTCTTGATTTCCAGCATCCCTCTAGTAAATCGAGTAGACCACTGAGGCTAACCGAGTTTCTCAGCTGGCAGGAAAGCAGCTGGCGGAAGAAGTCGTGCCGCTCCTCCTCGACGACGCACCCCACGACGAACAGCGGCCAGGCTAGTAACTCGAGCAGCCTGGGGTCGTCTTTTATGTCGGTCAGGGCGTCGAGAGCGCGCCCGGCTTTCTGTTTAACCTCTGGTAGTCGCGGATGTGCACCCGACACAATGACTTCTAGAAGAACAGACACAGCGCAGGCAAAGGTATGGTTAACAACGCATATATCGTATTGGCTCTGTGCACCAGACTGAAGGGGCCTGTCTTTGTCCTGCTGTCGCTGCTGCTCAAAGTCTTCTTTACTTTTTCCCAAGAGTATCATGTTACTGGCCATCTTCTTCTCAAGATCTACCTGGATCGTGTTTGCTTTGGAAGTCAACTCCCACAAGCTGAGCAGGCCTGCGGCCCTTGTTTTCTTCTTCCAGTCTCGCAGTAAGTAAACATCGAGAAGCACCTCGAAGATCCAGTTGCTGCAGCCGCAAACGGTTTCGAGCGAGAATTGCTGGCGAGTGGATGTGAACCATTGCTTGTAGTTGTGGGAAAGTCCTGGAGCACTATCTTGGTTGATTGCCGACAAAATGTCGATGCGTATTATTGAACTTATGAAAAAATCTCTTGACAACTCCTCGGGGGATCTGGGAGACTCCGGGTTTGTGTTGTTCCGTGTCTGGGCGATCCAAGGGGCGATCAGCGATGTGCCTGTTCTCAGGTGAGAAGTCCAGTCGACTTTGCCGCTGTGGAGAAGCTGTCGGAAAAGTGCGTCAGTTACTCGTGATATAATGGTGGGAAAGCTCTTGAGTGACCTACGCTAGAGGATATGAGTAAAACCGTGCAAGCCAGCATCGATACGTCATCGGCAGCTTTGGGCGTTCGCAGATTGCGATGGAACTCTTCCGTTGCTACATTGTATCTTCCATCGTGGTCTTCGTACCGTGGTTTTGAGCGAGGCTCTTCTATCCCTCTTTTATGGCTCCTGTGCGAGCTACTCAATGCGAGAGATGCTAGATACAAGGGTCGTGACTTGGACATGAGCCATAGGAAGTACCCTTGGCTAAAACCGCTCTGAGGTGTCGAACAGAATGGGAATTGCCAATTGAAGATCTTTTCTATACAATAAGCTAGTAACATCGCGTCCTCCATGTCGGCGATGGGAAGCGTGAATGTAGAAGTCCCGTGCGATGGGTGAGCTGTGCTGATTTGACTCTCGGGCGGCGATAGGTAGGCGCCGCAAATGTCATCTGCAACGCTCATCCCAGCCGTACCTTGTGTCATATGTAGGTTGGCCGTCAGGATGGACTCGAGTTCCGGTATGTCAAAGTGCTGCTCAGAAAGAAAATCCATGTCCTCGAGACTTGTCTGGAAATCGTGGTTCCCCGAGGGAGCAAGAGTAACAGGATATCCAGATAAAAACGTCATATCATCGAAAATTCTTTGGGATTCCGAATCATCCGATGAAGTAAGAGCTTCTGCGATCATTGTACTTTGATCATCTTCTTGAAGAGCATCCGCAAGCCGACCGCTTGCAAAGTCGTCCTGGGACGTGTCACCAAAGGTCTGTGTAGGAGAGCTGGACTCATGGTCCATGAGTATGCCGCTTGAAGCATCGGGGGCGTTGATTCGGATGTTCGAACGTTCCGTGTGGGAATTTGGGGGCTGTTTAGCTACCCAATCGTTTTGAGCTCGCATCTGTTTGTGCCGTCGGTTCTTGGTCAGCTGTGCCAGCTTCTCCTTCATCTTCGCAGCTTGTGCCTTTTGTCGGGCACCACGGTCCATCCAGGCCGGCCTTGTACCAAACCCGTGGCAATCAAGTCCCAAACACATGCATTCCGTACATATAGGTCGCCTTTCGTCACACTTCTTCTTCCGGAGCCTGCAAGACCAGCACCCATCTTGGCTGCGAGTCTCAGTCGCCATTGGATCTTTACTGTTGATAGCGGTCAGGAAGAAGAGTCAAAATGGTCGTCAACAGTGACAGTTCGTCTTTCGTATGGCTTTCGGGTTCCGGGTAGTATACCTTAACGTTCAGTTCATGCCAACATCAAGAGAGCTGTACGTGGTAGGCTAGTATCACCCTCAGCCCACCCGTAGCATACACCAATCGGGCATTATGTTCACAGCTTACTTTATCATAGTGGCAATCGGGTATTACTTTCGTCGCTTACTTTATCACAGCGGCATAGAAGGATGGCAGCCTCCATGTAGCTCTATGTAGTGAGCTTCCTCATACAAGGGATATTGTCGGAAGGAGTGATACCTACTGTACTTATCGATACTATATCTGGCAAACGGCTCGGAGGAGAGTTGCCAAGAACGAGATGAGGGTAGGGTTAGATCTGCTAAACCATAGGCAGCGAGAATGTACCTAATATGAACTTGTCTCACTTAGTGAAATTCACGGCCCGCCTCCCCCCACTGTCATCGAACAAGCTCACTCCACTCTATTCCTTTTACAGAGATAATGCAGTGAGATTTTAGCATCGTCTACTAGTAACTCACTTTTACCCGCTCTTACTATGACGCCACCCCGCACTTCCCTTATTCGTGCGTTTCTCTTATTCCACAATATTGTGCAATGCACGCTCGTCCGCGAAGGATTGCCAAGATAAGACCCACTCCCGCAAAGAAAAAGATAAGGGTCTAGCGTACCACAATGGGCCCTTGGCCACTAGACCGTTTCGACATGGACGTGCATGATTACAAAGAAGTTGCAAATACCTGTTTCACGAGTATCCCAGAGGCTCCCAACAAACCCCACATCATAGGCATACCGATTTGCCTCGTCACGTTGAATGGCAGAACCCACGGTGCTGCACCTGCGACGATGCGACGCGACGGCCACATGTACCAGGGAGAAGTCAGAGACATCCAGAATACCACCCAGCTGAACCCTAAAACCTTCTCCCAGTTAGCAGTTTTTCTTTCCTTGTCCGAGATGCTGGCGTGAATTTCGTTATAAAAGGCCTGGACTCCATCCTCGAGCATTATGCCTAGAGCGAAGGATGAGAAGTAAGGGATGGAGCCAGACTCCACTGCCGATAGACCCATAATGTTGGCCGAAACAGCATGCAGGATGCCTGATAAAAGGAAGACGAGGAAGTTGTTGGTATAGCGCTCCAAGAGGGAGGGAACCGGCAGTTTCAGGATTCGACGGGTGAGAAGGTATGTGTTGGAGGTAAAAGGCCAGCGCAGTATTTGATGCCAGAACTTGCTACAACGGACAAGGGGTTAGTCTCTTTGTGACCGGGGCCATACTTAGGCGTGCTCTTGTGGACTCACCCCCAGAAATTACGCAGCGTGTAGGCCTCCCACATGCTCCCAAACAGCGGCCGCCAACTCCGGGGACTGGCCAGACCTGATCCAACAAATAGAATAGATAGGGCGCGCCAAGTCGAGTCGAGAAGCAGGCGGCTGACCACAAACCAGGAAACAAATGGAGTGAACGCCCTGACGAACCATTGCTCCCCTGTCAAATTCCAATACTCATACTCTATCCCGGGGCGGTAGAATTTGTCCGTATTCTCGCGTGGCTCGCGCATGGTGACCTCAAGCATGACATCGAGGAACAGGTACTGCCAGGCCAAGATGGACCCCTGGCGGATCAGGAACCGTGTACGGCTGCCGCCGCCGTGGCCGAGCGAGGAGGGATGTTGTGGGGTATTCTTGGTCTCCCATGCCGTCTCCACGCCCCGCAGACTAATGACCAGGCGGGCTCCGTGCACCAGCTTGCGCACGAAGGGGGTTGTATCCGACGAAGGATCGGGCGTTGTCCCCGCTTTGCCGCTGTGGCGTTGGATGTCGCTCCAGGTAATGCCGCCGTCCTGAAGGATGAGAAGCAGGTTAGTACAGTGCGCGACCACGAGGATCCCTTCGCACGCCACGAAACTGTTGTGGAAGATGCTATTGGAGAGGCTCGGCGCCAGCTGGAAAATTAGATAAGCAGAGAAGCCGATGAACACCAGTCCAAAGTATCGCAACCACGAGTATTTGGGTGTCGCGACAACCAAACCAGCAGGAATCAGTATTTGTACCGCGAACAGGAGAGCGGCGTTGCCGAATGCCTGAATGGAGCTGCGAGATAATGCCATGTTGTCTATAAGGGGTATAGTCGGTGCTGATGGAACTCTAGGCATCGGAGAGTCAACTCTGGGCATCGAGGATTTATGAAGTAATTGTCCTACAACCTCAGTGGCCTTGAAGCCAAGATAATTTTCAATTTCAAGTCGGTTCGCCCTTCCTTCATTGTTGCTTGCTCACCAATCAAATGATAGAGTATCTGTCGCACAAAGTATGATGTGATAGCTATGATGGGGTAACTATGATGGGGTAGTCACAATGTGATAGCTATGATGTTATGTGGTGTGATAGCCAAGTTGCGATGGCTATGATTTATAGAATCAAATGTTGTCCTGACCGTTCATGTTGATGGAATAGTGAAACTCACCACGACACTTCTTCTTGCCCCTTGATTTACCGCTTTAAAGACCCCCTAAGTCTAAATCATGCCATCGTGGGCTATCACAGGCGCCTCCCGTGGCATCGGGGTACGTTTCATCGATTTCAGCATACCATGGAAGCCAATTGCTAATAAGTTATCTTTTCCAGCTGGAATATGTCAGACAGCTAGTGCGTAGTCCATTCTCCCTTTCTTTTTCCCACTGCTTCTCGAGGGTAACCTCCGACTGACACTGTTATGCTATATCAGTCTGCAGATGTGGGCAACCAAGTTTTCGCCCTCATCCGTAGCCAGCCAAGCGAGGACCTCAGTAAACTGGATTCCGAGAGAAAAAATCTTCATGTAATCAAGGCCGACGTCACTGATACTCAAAGTCTCTCTGAGGCGGCTACCAAGGTGGGAAAGTTGACTGAAAACAAACTAGACGTGTTCATCAGCAACGCATGCCACACTGGACTTGACTTGAGGTTTTACCCAACCTCAGCATTGTGAGGGCCATCCTGCTCGGGGAAAAGCTGAGATATTGTATGACTGACCAGCATGTGATGTGTAGCCTTGGAAAAGAGAAGGAGCTCAAGAATGAGATTGATGCCCCTGTGCGTCTCCTTTTCGCTCTACGATGCCCGCCACGCCCACCCTTCTTCTTCTTTTTGTCTTTCTTCTCAAAGTGATATATGTGACTGCACTAACATGGGTAGTAGATGAGCGTCAACCTTATTGGGGCTATAAACTCCATCAATCGTTTCCTTCCTCTGATTCGCAACGGCGAACTGAAGAAGATCATCTACATCACCTCCCCGACAGGCGACGCTGAATTCACTCGTAAGTGTGGCGTCACCGTCACCATCGGATACACCGCTACGAAGGCTGCCATGAACCTTGTCATGTCAAAGTACGCTGCCGAGCTCAAGGGAGAAGGTATCAAAACTCTGGCCCTTAGCCCGGGATGGGTCGATACAGATGGAAGTAAGTAGCTTCCTGCATACTTGATTTTTGATGGTTTTTTCGAGGCTAACCACGGACTATATGGGATGTGTAGCTCGGGATATGGCCCCGACGCCAGAGGTCTTAGAAATGGCGCTGCAAATGTTTCAGAAGGTCAATCCGGATCTCACCAGGTTGCTGTCTCCGGAGGAATCAGTGAGAATGCAGCTTGACGTGATCAATAACCTGACGGAAGAGCAAAGTGGTCTAGCATTATCTCATCATGGGAACCACAATTGGATGTGAAGCGAAGGTGTGATTCTAGTACAAGCATGTACATACATCTGAAACAATCCTTTAACGCCTCTAAACCTGAGTCTTGACATCTTCCCATCAGTCTTGGATTCTCCCAGCTATGATCCTGCTCCCTGAAAATTGCACTGCATCCTTACCATAGATTGGAAACCATCACGCCAGTTCAGACTTTAGAGTCTCAGGCGTAAGACTTCTCATTAGTTTGCTGTAACATTGGCTGCACCGACGTCGCCTTTTCCAACTCAATCTTGGACCAACAGGTGATACTTGCCAGCGAAGCTGCGGGCCCGAGAAGTACTGTTTTCATGATTATGACTGCCCAGGTCGTGACCAGAGGGACCTCGGTAGCAGATATTCGCCGCAGCTCCCATGTCGTGTACATAGACCACGCCGTGGTAAGAGTAGTCAAAGATGCAAGCGCTCTTGCAAGTGGTGACGAGAGCAGGCTGACAATACCTTCGTTGAAGAGAGCAGCACTGTGGCTCCAAACCAGGGCGACATACACCGCGGTGGAAACGACAGTAATGGCGGTAAAGAACCGCCGCTGATAGGGAACGTCGACGCTGGTAAAGACAACTTCCACGCCTTGCGGGACGGCTTTTATTGCCCCGAAAAATTTGCTGCTCACATATACCAAAACTGGGAAGGCGTATTGGGTGGCGGGCCACCAGTCGAGCAAGCTCTTGTGGGTGCTTCCCAGAGCGGTGAGAATACTTGGGATACCGTACACCATTGCCAGGCATGGCAGTAGAGCCATTGCTGCCCCAAGATCTGTCATGAACTGTGGAGTATAGTAGTGTACGGCATGTTGGCTTGATATTATGTGGAAGCAAAAATAGACGGGCAAAGTCTTCTCCCACCCCCAGTAGTTGGAGGCAAGAATCCATGGAAGAGAGCTAGAGTGAAGGTCAGCAAGCGACAAAAGCAAAACAGGTGGAATGCCAAGTACGTACCTGCTCATCGGTGACACTAGCAACGACGCCTTGTAAGACTCGACAGCCCAAAGCCCACTAATTGATAATGCCATCATACAAATGTACAGCTGGAATGCATGAGAGAATGCAAGAAGGTCGCTGCTAGGAGCTGGGAGGAATCTGTGAGCCGACAATGGAAGGCACGCAGCGAGTATCAAGAAGCCTATCCACGAGATTGTCGCCAAGGGAGACCGTGGATTTGGCTTCACCTGCATATCTGGTGAAAATGGGCACATTCCTGCCTTCGGTGGCGGCAGATGCTCCATGCAGCGAGCTGGCGTGAAAGAGACAGCCAACTGAGGTAAAAAGGCGACCACAAATGGAAGTCGAGGGATGACGTGCAGGGCCATGAATTTCATGACTGGGTTGTCGAATGACTCCATCCGCTGCACCAGATTGGCATCCTCTCGCAGCGCTGTCGTCCTCACAAACCTCTCCTTCTGGAACTCGGTCAATGCTTGGTTGACACGGAGTGGATCGTGTAGAGCGTCATTTGCTCGGAGTTTCCATAGCATGTCCGCCACCATAGCGCTCTCCTCTATGGCCGAGTTGGCTCCTTGACCAGCTACGGGGTGCAGCTTCCGGAAGGCATCGCCAACGAGGAGAATGTTCTTGTAGAAGCACTTTTCCAGAACGAACTCCTGCAATGGGATAATGGTAGAATAGGTGGATTTCTTGTGCAGCCCTCCCAGAGTCAGGCCGTGCCCTATGTTATCGTCTGCGTACTTGTCTAGCAGAGCCTGCTTCGTGTCAGAGGATAGCTTGGGCACGATGCCTTTGATTGGCTCCTCGTTCTTGACACATAGCCACCAGTAGAACTCTCCAGAGCGTTCCATGCCCTCTGAGAAGAAGTAGGACCGTAGATGATTGTACGCTCGCGCATTTCCGCCTCGGGGCAGCCCTGGATCATGAGAAATGCCAATCACAGCCGTATATAGGGATACGATGCCTAAGTAACGTGGTTAGAACATTTCCAAGACCAATATGACAAGTTTCAGTCTGCGTACCCATCTTGTCCTGTTTGGGGATATAGCCAGGCTTCTCCGCATCAGCATGCCGCCAAAGCTCGCTCCTTACGCCACTCCTAACACCGTCTGCACCAATGACTAGATCTGCGGTGAATATTGAGCCATCTTTGGTTTCTACTCGTGCTCTTTCTCCAGACTGGCCGGGAGTTATCCGAGTGACCTCTTTCTGTAGGTGAATGCTGGACTTTTGCTTAATCTTGTCGAACAGAATGCGGAGACAGTCGTGCCGCGACAGGAAGTGGATTTTGTAGCCAAAGCTATAGGTGGTAGCAAAAGAAGATTAGCAGATTGCTTCTAGCGTCATAGTAGAGACATAGAGAACGGGCAATTGGTACATACAGCTTCTCCAGCCACTCCCCCATGTGCGGATTGAAGATGACAGTTTTCCCCTTTGGAGAAAGCGCAACGCCAGAATTCACAGGAGATGCATACTCGCAAATAGAGTCCCAAACACCTATTTGGTCTAGTATGCGCGCTCCGTTGGGAGTTATACCCACTCCTGCTCCCAGTTTGGGTGCAACATTAGGATGCTTTTCAAGCAATTCGTATTCAAATCCATACAACTCAAGCATTATTGCTAGAGTCAGCCCTGCCACCCCTCCACCCACGATTAGCACCTTGAAAGGATGCGCCATTTTTTTTGCGGTTTGTACCTATGCTGCGTAGTAATTAAAATTCAAAATCTTGATTAAGCAATGTTGATTCTTAGCATGTTCAATATTTTGGGAATCTAATAAAGACGTTCGTGTGGTAAGCATATTCAGGCAAGGTGCGTGCAGCACCGTCTAGAGCCACAGGCATTTCGTGACGGATTGCCTAAATTCAATGTCGCAGACCACCTCGCTCACCCCATCCACCTTCAATCAGGAGAATTTACGCAATCTACAGTTGAGATGTAACCTATGCAATGAAGCTGTTTTGCAAAAATGTTTATCTGTGTAGTTCTCTCTTCCCTTCTATTCATCTGAAAGGTGATATCAGTATCAACATATATATGACGAGGGAAAAAATTGGTCAATTCCAGAAAGGAAAGCATTGAAAGAGGTAAGTTTATCCTCAGTCAAGGCGAGCTCTTTTAGAATTACTATAGGTTCTCTATATGCTCAGAGGTTACGCGCCAAAAGTTCAAGATCATATTAGATATATTCTGTACTTTTACGTTGAACAATGGTGTTGTTATTGTAGTCGTCCACCAAAGCGGTTAGCTCTCCGACCTACGCGTCGCTCTCAGTATGCTTTGCATTCATTTCGCACCCCATACAATTATTGAGTTCGGGGTGATTCCTTAACACAGACCAGTCTGTGAAGACTTTATAGGTCTTCCACAGTGCTTGAAATAATACCAAATTTGCAATCAAAACTGAAAATATGAGGCTCCCAGTGCTTTTGAGTCGAGGGACCTGACAAAGATATGTGGTGGATAGCACAGAAGGCGTAATTCTCAGGTCCCACTGCGAAGCGCTCGCGGATGTATAGGGTTCCTCGGCCACATCCCTGGGCATTCTCTCATAACTTGGATCCAAGTATAAATTGGAAAAGTCGGTGAGATTTGCGGTAAATTACTGAGGTAAGTCGCCGTTTTCAAGGACATTAAGCGTTATCTGGCCCAGGTCGGCCATAATGGTGGTGTAGAATGATTTTGCAAGCATTTCAGCATAATACCAGATCTGACGAAACTCCTTGTATCGGTACTTAGCTTCTCGGTCGCACTTCCAGGTGTTTGCGAATCTGGTTGCACCACGGTCAGGGAAGAAAAAACAAGCGGGCTTGAACTCCATCCAACTGTCGGATTTGAACTGCTCTGCATCTGAAATTTGTGGAATAGTCAAGAAGAACACTTGACCTTCATTCATATAATATTCTTCCGTCGATCCCATTGTCAAATTCACGGGCATGTAAGCGGCTTGTCTCATTTCGTACATGGTTTGTGCAAAGTACCAAGATATCAAGGACTTTCCCCACCACAAACTCGCCGTCTGGTTTCTATCCATACTCAATGGGAAGGATTGTTTCTCTTGTCTCGGACTGTAATTGGCGACCAAGCCTATTTTTTTCCTACCCGTTTCGATATCGACTACGCAAGAAAGGAAGGCATCTAATGAACTTCTTTCTCCAAAGTCATCATCCCTTTCGTCTTCAAATCTGATGCAGATTTGTTGAAACTCGCACTCTGTAAGTGGGTTATTGAGATGCGCGATGTCGGCTAAGTAAGTCGTCCACTCTTCGGTGCCGTGATTATCTATGCTGTAAAGTTGATAAGGGAACGCGGTATTATTCGTATAGTAATATTCGTATACGGGCAACCTTTGTGGTTCACATGTCGGGCGAATCTTTGAAGTTTTGAAAGATGGCCAGTTGTGAAAATAAGTCGTATTTGTGATTGTTGCATTGGGTTCCGATGTCGTAACAGTAACGGTATCGTAGCCAGAGGTAGCAAGATTCAGAAACGAAAACAAAACCGAAGCCAATATCCCTCCAACGATAGCAACAGGAGTAAACCATAGAAATGGATAGGGTTTAGTCAGGGTGTAAGAGAAGACTGACTGGTGAGGTGGCAAGGTAGGCATTGCTGCAAAAAAGCAGACTTTGGCTCTTGCCTAAAATCTGGCACATGACGGATTAGTTATCTTCAAAGTGTTTCGAAGACATTTCTTGACTCTCAGCATTATCTTGAATTACTTTTAGCCCCAAGCCAATTAGATCATCACATTGGGGCGCATGCATCGGTTGCCAAGGATTGCATTCTTATCGAGTAGCGTACCCTCTACATGACAAGGGACATACTTGGACTACTCTTATATTGCGCCAGCGCCATTCTGAGACCCTGGTGACTAACAATAAGCTATGCGTCTTCAACATTGAATTATCAGTTTTGCTTGCGACTCAATCCGTTGTGAAGGAAAATCTAAGATTTTTTATCTTACATTTAATAGATCATTCAAGCAGAATAGTGATAATACGATATCCTCTTGAATCGAGAACGTTCAGAGATCGTAGCTGCCAAGAGCATCGAGAACACTGTCTCCCTGTTAGCACCATGTTCATGCAAGGCTGAGATTGTAGCCGATGCAAGCTTTCATGGGGGCTAAAAGCCGCCATAACTCTTCAACATCGAACCATTGCTTAAAGTGGCGACTCAGCCTAATTTAGCTGGAATTATTGCCTCGAGTAGCCTCCCACTGAGCGCTTGTTCCATGGCTGTAACATGTTATAGAGAACTTATTGACGAATGTAAGACCTTGATGTTGCTCCCTTAGTGTTGGTATTAGAGTACAGCTGCTCCCGCAATACCTCAATCTTATCAGGCTTTTCGCTATCACACCTTAGTTCCCCACAGCCTCCTCCCTAGACATCACCAATAGACATCCGGAGTTCCAAGCACCACGACGTTAATCCCCTCCATTAACAATAAAATACACCACCTCCTACCTCCACCACCTCCCTACGTGCCAATCCTCTAGATTACTTGATCTCTAGAATCCCTCCAGCGACTGGTAGATCACTGGCAACCCCTCAGCCATGGCATGGGCCGGCGACAGCATAGCCCGCGGTGGAATCACGCAAGTCCTCCTGTCATGGATAGTTCCGAGCAGTACACGGTCGTATGAGAGAACCTGTTTGTATAGGGTGATTGTGTGACGGTTGAGGGGGTGGAATGGCGATAGGCTAGCGACGAGGAGGGGAGGAACGATGAGGGGGATCATTGTTAGCATGAAGGGGAGGGGAAGGTTGGGAAGAGAAAGGGTATGTAGAATTGGGTGTTATTGCAAGTGAGAAATTTGTACCGTGATTCATGAGCGAGTAATTCAGTGCAAATCAAGCGTCTGATTGTTGTGTATATACCAAGTGTGCTGCTATCATCTCATGAAAGTTCATGTACAAAACAGGTTAGCCTAGGCCGTATACTTGACCGTAAAGCTACTCGTCTCAACCGTATCCCAATCCTCGTCATTATCCTCATTACCAAAAATATGCAGCGCCGCAACTTTCATGCGGTACGTTCCCTCATCCAATACCCTTCCATCAGCCATCAACCCGTTGAAGTACGCACGCACCTCACTCCTCGGGATGTACGTTAGCGGGAATCCCGCCAAAGGTCCGAGTGTCTTGTTGCCCTGCAGCACATCTACACGTAGCAAAGGCGAGCCCACCGAAGGAAACATGTACACATTGGGCTGGTTGTAGTTGTCACCTCGGTCGGTCCAAGGCGGATTCTGGGGATCGGGGCGGGGGATGGTGTAAGAGGCGTTTGCAGGTGCCTCTGAGTATCCTTGTGCAAGGTAAGCAGTTCCGGACGGGAAAACGGTAGCCTTGCGCATGCTGCCTACGACGCCGAGGTACGGGAGGTGAAGTTGCTTGCCGACGGCGATGAAGCCGCTGTAGACAGGTAGCAAAGTCGCATTGACACCTCCAGGCGACGTGATGTCGACGGTCACTTTGGCGGATTGACCGGCGGGGACGGTGATGCGGTCGGATGAGAAGGATACGGTGGCCCATGCGTTTACAATGGAGTTAGAAATCAAGCCTGGACGGAAAAAGAAACCTGTTGGATCCATTGTGTTTATCGTGACAGCTTTACGATGGCTCAACTCCAGCACCTCGTCGGTGGTGCCGGTGTTGATGACGCTGAAGCTGTGAGTGCCGACGAAGTGCTCCGTATCGTTGAGCGCTATGCTGTCAATGTCGATCTCGAGGGTAGTGCGTGCAGCATTCCAGGCTTGTACAAGTCCGGCGCCTTGTTGTGGGACAGGAGCAAGGATGTCGGGGTGGACAGTCTTGTCGTAGTACCAGGCAAGTGGCTTTGAGGTGTGCATCAGGAGTCTGCGAAGGCGCTTCGGTTCCAGCTTACCGTATACCTCTCCAAGCAGTGCGTAGACGCCTGCGACCAGAGGAGTTGACATGCTGGTACCAGTCATGACCCGGTAACTACCTAAAGCCGTCGGATATGTACTCAGAATATTCTCTCCGGGCGCTACAACCTCTGGATCCATGCTGAGTTCCCAAGTCGGGCCCCAACTGGTTAGAGTATCTGCAACGTAGCCACCACCCTCGTTATTTTCAAGCTCCTCGAGATGCGTTTGGGACCCGTTGGAGGGGATAGTCACGGAGACGGTAGCACCTTGTGAAAGCAGGGAAAGCCAATCCTCGGCAGCATACGGGGCGACCCTGATGACGCCTTGAATGCCATCAGTGTACAAATATGGCTCGTCGCGCATCGTCAGGTTGGTGCGCTCATAGTACGCCATGAAGCGCCCGCCCTTTGCAGCGATGTTGGCACCTTGGTCTTGCGGGTAACATTGCGTTGCGCGCGGATCCTTGAATTCCAGGAGGACGATGCGTTGGCTCAGATCTGGTGTATCATCGGGCAGCGGCTTGCAGGCGTCGTCGGCATTGGCAGCAGACCAAAGCGGGAGTGTCGCGCCGGTTGCGAATTCTGGCACACCCCTCAAGAATCCAAACTCATGCGTACTGTTGCCGGTAGCATTGGCGCCCGTCTTGTAAGAACCTCGCTCGAGAAACGTGGGGAATTTGGTGTTGGATGCCGCTCCTGTGCCTGTGACGCTGAATCCCGTTGCTGGCGTGGAGCCGTAAAATATACCCTGCCCACCATCGTTGCCTGCAGAAACGACAACAGGAATGCCAGAATCAACAATGCGGGAAACGATGACGGCACGCACATCCTGTCCCCAGCCTGAGGCATCACCGTTGGAGTACGAGATGATGTTGGCTCCATCTTCCACGGCACGAGCGAATGCGAGGACCTCAATCTCGTCTATCGATGCAGCTGAACAGCCCCACATTCTGTATGCTCCCAGCCTCACTCCAGGAGCAGAGCCGGTAAAGCCGTATTCGTTTCCTTTGAGCTGAGCGGCGATAGTGCCGGCAACGTGCGTTCCATGTCCGACGCAGTTGTCCATGGGATCGTCGTCTGGCTTTGGTTGATTTGTGCCAGGGATGTAGTCGTCGCCCGTAAAATCGTACCCAACTTCGACCAGACAGCCTTTTCCGAAACAGCCGCCCAGGGCGGGATGGGTGTAGTCGACGCCGCTGTCAACGATTGCGATGAGGAAGCCTTTGCCCGTCACGCCCTCTGCGTGTAGCTTGTCAACCTGGGTCATGACATGGGGGGAGAAAGTATCTTCCTGCGACTCCACCTGCCGCTTGACGCGTTGTGGCTGAGCAGGTACTGCGACACTCTTTTCGGGCGCATGGTTCGTGATGCGAATTGGCCATATGTTCTCTACTTGTGGCAGTGCTTTCATCTGATGCATCAAGTCCCCGCCATTGGAATTTGAGCCGGGGCTCGAGGCCAAGTTCTTGAGCTGGAATGAGACGCCGTTGAAGTATCGGAAGCGGAGGTCCTTGCGAGGCTCGACTTCTACCCCGACTGCCGCAAGCGAGGCATAGAAGCTCTCCGGTGTCTCGCTGTCATTTGCAAACTCAACGATGTAGGAACCGGGCAAAATGCCGTTGGCTGAGGACGTGTCGTTTGCCGCTCGTTGCACAATCGCATTGGAAGGGAGGCGGGCATGAACCGATGTTGAGATGGCGACTGGCGCACCCAGCACAAGGGCCGCAATGGCACAATGCAACTTACCCATCTCTGAGGACGTGGATGAGGCTCAAGGTATGCCCGGATGCATCTTGTATTTGTACATACAAACACCAAGCCCGTAGCGGGGACATGGCTGCCGGACAAGCGGTATAGATGCGACGAGAATCATGCTTCATTTCGTATAACTAGGGGCCCTGGCACGGCGAGGTTCCCTCATGTGCTCCGTGGGTGTGGAGAGAATAGGAACACGAGCATGGACATCGCGGATCGTGTCCACTTTTCAATATTGATTACCATGCTCCTTCCCTTTTCGGGCCTTAGATCGGATAATTAACGCTGCATCCGCCAAGTTGTTAATATCTTGGGTGAGGTGACTTGCTAAATTTACATTTTAACATGGCACCATATGATATCGTGAGATGCATGTATATTCACATTGGCATCTAGTATACATGCATATGTCGTATTCTGGATACGAAGGTCTATCATGCGACCTCGTGAAGGCAAACCATCAAGTCAAGTGACTATTTATTGCCAAGCGTGTGCAGCAGTGTTAATGTTTAGTGGTGCTTGAAATAAAGTTGCCGGCTAACAGTTATACCCTCGTATGAGCGACGCGGTATAATGGACAACCATCTAGTTGGTTAGTTGAGGTTGCAATTACATCAAGCACATTTTGAACCAGTCGTTGCGTAGATGTCATGTTGAGAGCATGTGTCACAGTCAACCTGAGATTAAGTGCGATATTGATTATACAGAGCTCAATGAGATCTTACAGGGGATAGTACTCATAGATGCAGCTCCTCAAATGCCTCAATAGGTATAGCGTTGCCGAACTTACGTAGTTCTACCTATGAGAGAAGCGTGCAGTTCGACATCTCAAAACAACCTCCGGCTGCAAGACTTTCTCTTATGACATCGTCATGATTTCTCAGCATAGATGAACTTTGCTACTACAAACTCTACTCTACCTTGCAACCACACATTGCGTGGATATGCCATTGTGTGGATCTGCTCTCCGCCTCTACGTAGAGCCCACGCTCTTCATAGACTTTTTTTTCATTATCAGTCAAAGAAGATGTATCATTATATTCAAGGAAGATTAATACCTGCAGAATTGAGTACGCAGAGATAGTGCGAGAGACTGTGCGAAAGAGACATACGAACAATATGGGGCATCGTGTCTAAATTTGAATTCTATTAATGCGCCACTGCGTACTTTTCCTGACACGCCGACCAAGCCCATCTATTTCGAGTCTCAGGCTCGCTCAACAAGCAGCTTACTCTTCTCCGCCAGATTGCAGGCCAACTGAGTCATTGGAATGTTCTGCATGATGTCGAATACGGAGCACTCAACAGCCATCTCGCGGGCGATCCAGTTCCTGACCTCGACAGCCACCAAGCTATCAACACCATATGCGCTCAGCGGCTTGCCCGCATCAATATCCTCTTCAGGTGTCATCATCAAACTTGCCAGTCTCTGCACCATGGCTTTTGTAATGATATGCACAGCCTCTTCGCTGATGGTGCCACACCGTATCAACTCTTCGCGCAACGAGACAACTTGCCCCTTGTTGGCTGAAGTTCCAGCTGCGAGGTTTCTTAGAGCACCGAACCGCGCATCGCATATCCAGTACCATGCATCGTCATGTTCGTTAAACGGCAGACCGCACATGACCTGGCCCGGATGCTTGGAAGGGTCTTCGATGGCTGTTGCTAGCAGTCCATGCAAGTCAGATGTTTGCATGACCTTAAGTCCCATTGCCTTTACGTGGTCAACATATTCGTCATGCTCAGCAACGAACCCAACGGACAGGAGGTAGCCAATATCGATGGTCATTGCAGGTAGTCCTTGACCTCGCCTAAATGCAGCAAACTCGTCCTGGAAGTTATTACCGCATCCGTAGTTACCCTGTCCGCGATGGCCCATAACACCAGCCAATGAGGACAGCATGACAAAGAAATCCATGTCGCGCGGCAGAAGTTCGTGCAGGTTCCAAGTGCCGTGAACCTTGGGGCCGACTGTTGTGCGGACGTTATCGGCGGTCATCTTATCAAAGAGGGTGTCTTGCAACACCATGGCGCCAGTTGCGCATCCCTTGATGGGTGGCAATCCCTTGGCCTTCAAGTCATCGAGGACTACTTGCAAGGCTGCCTTGTCGGCAACGTCACAATCATAGGCCAAGATGTTGACGTTGTACGTATCCTTGAGCTGCGAGGCGAAGGCTTGGTTGTCGGACCCACTGGCTGCAGAGCGAGAAAGGAAGACCAAGTGTTGTGCGCCCTTTTCAGCCAGCCAGCGTGCAATCTCACGTGTGATACCGCCTAAGCCGGCTATGACATAGGTACCGGCAGAGTGGATGCGTACGCGCGGGATGCGAGGTACAGCACGAACGACATCTGCTTCGTCGACGCGAACAACAACCTTGCCCATGTGCTTTCCTGCTTGCATGTGGCGGAAGGCCTTCTCCACCTCAGACATGGTGAAGATTTGAAGTGGTGAAATGGGCTTGATGGACTTGTCCTGAATCAGCTTCGCCGTGTCATTCCATAGCGCAACTGCTCGAGGCGTTGGGTTGTTCTCAAACTCAAGGAGGTTCACACCAATGTAGCTCTTGTTGTCCAAGAGTGGCTTCATGTCAAGGCCGGTATTGGCGAACAAGTCTGCCTTTCCGATTTCCAAGAATCGACCGAATTTTGCCAGGCATTCAGTCCACGATAAACGCAAGGCTTCACCAGCCAAGGAATTCAGCACCAGGTCAACACCTCGACCATTCGTGGCGCGCAATACCGCTTTGACGAAGCTGGTATCGCGGCTGCTGAAAATGTGGTCTTCGGGGATGCCATACTGTTCCATGAGGAGTTGTTTCTTGCTGTCTGCACCGACCGTTGCGAAGACCTCAGCACCCTTGGCTTGCGCAATCATGATGGCTGCTTGTCCAACACCACCAGCAGCAGCATGGATCAGAATTGTCTCACCGGCCACGATACCACCCGCGGTGACCAAAGCGTAGTAGGCCGTCAAGAAAATGAGAGGCATCGACGCGGCTTCCTCGAAGCTCATGCCAGAAGGCACGGGAATCGCGCCTTTGGCTGGGAAGCGGAGATAGGTGGCAAAGGCATCACACGATGCTGTCATGACCTTATCTCCAACCTTGAAATCTGTAACGGCCCATCCGACACGAGTGACGACTCCCGAGGCATCAACACCCAGTTTGTTCTCGGCTAGGTTACCCAGCGCAACGAGCACATCTTTGAAGTTCAGGCCAACTGCCTTCACCTCGATCTCGATCCAGTCATCGGGCAGAGGGGTGTGATATGTCTCATCTTCTTCCCACTGGAAAGTGTCGAGCAGCCCAGGTGTCTTGATAGTCAATTTGAGGGGGCGACCGCATCCCATAAAAGAAACCATCTCGGGATCTCCTTTTGCTTCGTATTTGCGCAGTGATGCATCCATTCCCAGTGTTCGCTCCACACGAGGAATAAAGACGGTTTCGCCGCGTGCAGCAAATTCGCCCTCCGTACCGTCGCCTCGAACGTGCGCCTCAGCAACCTTCAGTGTAGTTTGGGATGCCTTTGCAAAGTCGATGGTTGAGGGCGCCTCTAGATCGAGACATGCAAGGCGTACACCGGCATTTTCGTTGCGGATGGCCCTCGCCAGTCCGACCATGAGGCTGTTAAGAGGGTGGGTGGTATCGAGAGCACCACCGCCAGTAATCCAAAGGGCTCCCTCAGAGGAAAGGACAACATCACGAATTCTTTCCCAGTCCTCATCCGTAAGATTGGCTAGGACTGGGTTCTCCCACTCCGCAAGGCAGAGGCAGTACTTCCCAGCTACACTCGTCTTCGTGATGCTGTTCCATTGAGTAATATCAACTTCGTGACTAGCCGAGGAGAATGCCTCTCTCAAGTGGTTAGCAAGCTTTTGAGATATCTCAGTGCCAGTGCTGATGATCAGACAAGGAGGCATCGACGCCACCGATGTCTCAGGCTTCGTTGAGATGATAAGCGAAACAGGTTCTTTGGAGGTATCTCTATCACCGCGAACATCAACATCGACACCGGAGAATCCAGCCGATTTCAACGCGACGTTCCACTCTTCGGCATCTAGGAGCGGACCGCCTTTTCGGCCATCCGCTTCTCCTAGCCACCAACCAGGCAAGGGACCCATGATGAAGCCCGAGAAGATGCGCTTGATTGTTACCTCGGACAAGACGAGATGGCCGCCAGGCTTCAGAAGTGACTTGCAGTGTGTCAAGGTTTCTTGGATGCTCTTGGTTGCGTGAAGCACATTAGCACATACGATGAGGTCGAACGATTCGGTGCTGAATCCTTGCTCCGTCGGGTTGTTTTCAATGTTAAGAGTGCCAAACTGCATAATCGATGCATCCTTATCGAATCGATCGGCTGCTTTGGCAAGGAACCCAGGTGAGATATCAGTGAAGTAATAATGGGCTGCTTTTGAGCTGCCATCGGGATTGCGTAGACGTTCCAAAACGTGATAGGTGGTACCGCCTGTTCCCGCACCGATTTCTAGGATTCGCAATCCAGGTCGCTTGTCAGCTAGTAGGCCAACGTATTCGGCAACGTTGGTGTTGAAGCTTGTGCCGAATGCGCCACGGTAGAAGGCATAGAGGAGATCACCTTCAGTCATGCACTGCAAAGCTTCAACCTCGTGGGTGAAGATGCGAGAAAGGTTTTGGCCGATACGGTCCACCATTTGCACCGTAATGTCACCGCTCTCCGATCTTCCGATGCGTTCGCGGGCCCGCTGCATCTCGCCTTCAACATCTGCAGGTAGCGGAGGGAATTGTTTGACCTGGTCATGCATCCACTCCACGTACAGCTTCCAAAAACCATCTTGTGGCTGGTGTACTTTGCCTTCTTCACTCTCAAACCAGTCGAGGACGCGGTAGATGTATACCAGACAAATAAACTCCAGAAGATCGAGTACCGAATCATCGTCCTTGCTCTTCAAGGTTCGCTTGTAGATTGTTTCTTTGATTTGGAATGGAGCCAATAAGTCAGCATCCACATGCCAGTTCT